CCCCCATACCTCCTCCCTCACCCCCATCCCAGGCCCCAAGAAGACTTTCCACATCAAGCAGATGTTCACCTGCACATCTGCCAATGTGGTATACTGCATCCGCTGTACCCGGTGTGGCTTCCTCTACATCGGGGAAACCAAGCGGAGACTCGGGGACCGCTTTGCAGAACACCTACGCTCGGTTCGCAACAAACAACTGCACCTCCCAGTCGCGAACCATTTCAACTCCCCCTCCCATTCCTCAGATGACATGTCCATCCTGGGCCTCCTGCAGTGCCACAACGATGCCACCCGAAGGTTGCAGGAACAGCAACTCATATTCCGCTTGGGAACCCTGCAGCCCAATGGTATCAATGTGGATTTCACAAGTTTCAAAATCTCCCCTCCCCCCACCGCATCCCAAAACCAGTCCAGCTCGTCCCTGCCTCCCTAACCTGTTCTTCCTCCCACCTATCCCCTCCTCCCACCTCAAGCCGCACCTCCATCTCCTACCGACCAACCTCATCCCGCCCCCTTGACCTGTCCGTCCTCCCTGGACTGACCTATCCCCTTCCTAACTCCCTACCTACACTCACCTTTCCTGGCTCCATCCCCGCCTCTTCGACCTGTTTGTTTCCTCTCCACCTATCCTCTCCTCTATCCAACTTATAGTACATATTTCTTGTTCCCTCCTTTCTTGAATATTGATGTTACATTCACTTGCTTTCAACCTTCTGGGACCATTCTAGAATTTACGGAATTTTGTAAAAACCACAAGCAGTGCATCTACAATATCTGCAGCTTTTAGAACCCTAGGATAAATGCTCTCAAGTTCTGGGATTTTTGGTTTTTAGTTCCTTAGATTTCTTCAATACATTTTCTCTACTGATATGAATCACCTAAAGTACCTCACTCTTCTTAGGTCCTCAGTTGTCCTTTCCTTCTGTTATATAATTTGCTTCTTCTACCACAGAGATGGAAACAAAATATCTGTTCGATGTCTCTGTTATTTCATTACCTATGCCAATTTATCCTGTCTCAAAGAGATGTGTTTACTTTACGTACTCTCTTCCTTTTTAGACAGTTTTTCAAGACTTCTCAATTAATTTTTATATTCCTGTGTTGTTTGTTTTTCTGTTTTTAAAGCTTTCAGAATCCTTTGAATTACCATTATTCTTTGCAACATTATCGGTCAAATTTTCCAAGACAAAGTTAGTGCTCCTGTGGAGAGTTAAATATCCAAAGCTGATATCAGGTTAGGATCCTGATATCATTTCACCCTCTTTCAGGAATACCTGCAATCAGTTACAAGGAGGGTTAAACTAAAGTGTGTTGTGCAGGAGAGTGTTGAGAAAATGACAGTGTGGAGCTCAGAATCTCGAATTGTATGCCACTCAGATTGCCCTGTCCTGATGTCGTGGATCATCTTAGGACACAGTTCCTGAGTTAGATGGACAACACTCCCACTGAGACTTCTTGGGGTTCTTTCATCCACCCCTTCTGGTTTGCAGAAATTGCCCTCTTAGTCTGATCTTGGTAGAACCTGCCTCAGATCCAATAGCCAGACCCTCAGCAAAAACAGAAACTCAGCATCAGATTTTCCCAGAGGAGTTGGGAATCGAGTGACAGATTTACTTCTGGATTATAACTCTATCCCTGATAGTGAACTGAAGATGCTTTTTAAAGACTAGTTTGGAATTTTTTAGAAGGCAATGACTCAGTTAGATTAGGGATAGATGCACTGGTTGATCTGTGACCCTGAAGTTGGGGGCAAGCAGAGATGTGACTTGCTTTAGCTGTCAATGTAGTGGTTGTCATTCTCACATTCCTAACCTCTACCAAAAAATGTTAAAATTAACATTTCCCACAGTTCAGAAGGTGCAGCATGTCTGATACCCATAGACTGGTGTTGTGTTGCTTTAATTAACTGATATTAAAACCATATTATGGCCTAGGACGCTTATAACTGTTCAGCATTTCAATGCCAATTCAAACTCCGTTCTATATTAACTTGCAGCTGACCCCGTCATTGTTTCTGTTGGAGCTGGTCTGTAGCACTCAGCTCCTTGAAAACTAGAAAAGTGAAGAAGACCAATTTCAAATAAGGTCTTTGATGACTGTAATTGTGCTCAAGATTGATATGAGTCAGTTCGCTGGCTTATCTTCACCCCAGAATCAGGCGAAGGAGAAGGTTATAAGTCCTCAAGGCAAAAATTCTTAACCTGCATAATCTGTATCTTACATTCTACAGACTGTGAAAATGTAGAGTTGAAATTTATGACGATATACCTTATACCTTCACCATAATATTTCTTCATTTTAAATCATACTTTCTCACACCTATACAGCAGTAAGTGAGGAAATAAGCTGTCCATTTTAAAGCAGAGTGTTCATAGATTACCAAAAGGTAATTTCCAATGAACAGGGTTAACAATACATGAACCTATTTCTCCTGTAACTTGCAGATTTCTCCTGTAACACGCGTATTTCTCCTGTAACATGCAGATTTCTCCTGTAACATGCAGATTTCTCCTGTAAAATGTGGATTTCTCCTGTAACATGCAGATTTCTCCTGTAACATTCAGATTTCTCCTGTAACATTCAGATTTCTCCTGTAACATTTGGTTGCTCATATTATGGATTGAACTTTGTCAAAGGAATTATCAATCACTAGCAGCAATATGGTATATCAAAAAGTTGTTTTTAATCCTGCCTTATCATTTCTTGTTATTTGATACCAATGGACTGGATTGTTGAAATGGATGTGGGTAACTCAGAATTACTTCCCACCAGGACTTTTCTAACACTGTCAGAAATCAAAAATGAATCTTCTTTACACCGTCAGTTGCTTCTTTTCTGTTACAAAACAAAACTTCACTTCGTTTTAGTTATAAAAATGTTGGAGACAGGATAAATGGCTATTCGAACCAATGGGGTATTTAAAAGATCAAGTGAGGAATTACTAGGTGTATGTCCAAGCAGAGTTAACAGTCTGGTGGCAGATTCTATGAGATTCAGTAAAGATGCCCTTTTGTTTGTCTCTGGTCGAATCATGGCCATTGCCATTTCCTGCCATCAAAAATATCACATTTTTCACCTAGTTATCTCTCTGGGTTGTAGCCATTGTGCTTGCTTTATACAGAGAGACAGTCAGAGCTGGCACTAAGCTGGTTTTACATTGATGTTAGTGGAAGCTTATGTCGCACATGATGCCAATGCATGGCTCTCCCACATGAACTGACAAACACCAATGTAAACTTACTGGAGTGGCCAGTGGGGAAGACTCACATGAACCTACCTATGCAGACCGACAGTAGGCCCCTTTGACCTGCCTTGCCATTTGATTTGGTCATGACTGGTTAGATTGTGGTCTCAATTCTACTTTCCTGTCCATCCTGATAGCCTTTGCCTCTCGGTTTAGAAGTTACGACTTGCTTAGAAAATATATTCATCAGAGTTTAGTGGAATGTGGGGGGATTTCATAAAAACCTATAAAATTCTAGACAGGGTGAGGACAGGAAGGATATTCCCAATGACTGGGGAGTCCAGAGCCAGGGGTCACAGTCTATGGGGTAGGTCATTTAGGACTGAGGTGAGGAGAAACTTCATCGCCCGGAGACCGGGTGGGGCCAAAACATTGAATATTTTCGGGAAAGAATTAGATATAGTTGTTAGGGCTAAAGGCATCAAAAGGTGCGGAGAGAAAGGAGGAACAGAGTACTGAATTCAATTATCAGTCGTGATCAGATTGAATTGGAGAGCAGGCTCGAAGGGACGAATGGCCTACTCCTGCTCCTGTTTTCTATGCTTCCATGTGAAATTCGCCATGGTGTAAAGCACGTTGCCAATTCATTCTGAGTCCATTTTATGCCACTGGTCAAGACCAATTTCAGCACTATTGCCTTTAGATGACCATCCTTAACAAACCTGACAAGATTCAGCTATGTCAGCTGCCTGGGAATGCACTGCTAAGGGTGAGCTATCATTGCAGTCCTCCGAATGGAGTTAAGTAGCATTGAATACTGTCCATTGACTAAAATAGGATCAAATCCGGTCAGGGATGATAGTAACATTGGATCATGAATAGACAACCCAGCCCCGCAAGCATGTCCCACTATTTTATTAGACCACAGTTAATCTGTATCTCAAATCCATAGGTTTTTACAATCTATCCCATGATACCTTTACTCAACAAAAGAAACCTATCCATCTCAAGCTTGAAAGTTCCAATTGTTCCCCGTATCCATAGCTACTTGGTGGGAGTTCTTTATTCCTACAACTTTTATGTGAAATGTGCTTTTTGTTTCCATTCCTGGCTTTACTTTTAAGATTCTGACCTTTTGGACTTGATTCCCCCAACTAAAGGAAGTGGTTCTCAGTGTTGACCATAACAAATCCTTATAAGGTTTTAATGCCTTGATCATTATTCTCCCCTTACCCTCTATAAGTCACGTCTGCACAGTTTGTTTTCATAAGTTAACTCTCCAATTCTTGGTATTTTTCTGCTGGTTGTAATGTTCATTAGTTCTGTGTGGTTGATTATGTGAGCTTACTTACTTTTGCCTGAGTCCACACCCAAGCTTGACCAATCAAACACAGTGAGCATCAATATTAAACAGACTCACACAATCAAGCATGTGAACAGATGAACCCTACAGTGATGTGGGACTATAAGCAACCACGTCCCTCCTCTTGAACAGATGTAAAACAAACAACTTATCTTTCTCCCCACCCAGAGGAAATGCTGTGAGCTGGAAGATTTGACAAGAGAGCTACGACAAGCAAACCTGCTCCAGTTCATTCAGCAGACAGGGACAAAGGTCAGCATTCTCCCAGCCCAGGAGGGACCCACTCAGGTTATTGGTGAGTAACAACAGATTACTGCTCTCCACAAGTTACATTCCTCTTTCCATGGAATCCGTCAAAAAGAATCCCACTAATAAATGGGCTGAACACAGGCAGTGATCCAAAACAAAACACTTGCTGACATTGCAGGCTGGGCCAGTAATTACTGCAAATGCTCCTGGAGAAGGTATTGGGGAGCTGTCTTTCTTGAATTGCCGCCTTGCTTGGGGTGTAGAGAAAGACTGCCTACTTTTAGAGCTGCTAGAGAGGGACCCTGCAGTTCTAGATAACGCACATAAAATATAATTGCTAAATCCCAGAAACCAGCGGGCCCAATTAAAGGGAAGCATCAGTCCTGTAGTAAATTCTATGTAAATTCTTTTTCACATTTTCTCACATCAAAGTTTCAACTGAAGGTCAAAACGAAGAACCATAGCAGTCCCGAAACGTCAGCCTTCCTGCTCCTCTGATGCTGCTTGGCCTGCTGTGTTCATCCAGCTCTACACCTTGTTATCGCAGTTACAAAGAAGCCGTGTTTTTTCTTTAATTCACCAAAGCATCTAACATTGGAGCCTCAGAGACGATTACATCATCGTGCTGTGAAGGTGTGACAGAGCATTTGCCCAATCTTAACAAATCAGACGTGCTGGGTATGAGAAGTATTGCGATTAGTGAGTGACTTGACATGTTTTGAGTTGCAAGCTGTCTACTTTTATTCTAACTAGGCCATCTGTTTACCGAGCAGGCGTTCTGCTTTCTATTTTTGATCTGAATTCTGCAGCATATGTCTGGTTTGTGCAGGTTCATTTCCCCAATTACTGGCCTAATGTTTCTGTTCAGTAGCACAGACTTTTTCTAGTAAGTGCTCAAAGCCTGTCATTGCTCCAAAATAAAACCCACTCTTGCATCAACTGAAGATGACCATCAGCAGCACAGGGAGGAGCATGAGGTCCTAGGACTGGGGACACAAGATAAATTTGTCACAATTCTGACAGGAGGAGTGTCTTAATTATCAGGGCACACTACTCCATGAACCAAATTAGTGTCAATATTTTTGTTTTATCATTGATATGTTAAGTTCCTGGGAGTGATGATCCCTGACAATCTGTCCTGGTCTACCCATGTAGACACGACAGTCAAGAAAGCAGAACAACGTCTCTACTTCCTCAAGGGGCTAAGGAAATTTAGCATGTCCACAAACACTCCTACCCATTCTTATAGAGGCACCCATTGAAAGCATCCTATCCAGATGCATCACAGTGCAGTATGACAACTGCTGTTTGCAAGACAGCAAGGAACTACAGAGAGTTGTGAATGCAGCCCAGTCATAGAGTCGTGAATGCAGCCCAGTCATAGAGTCATAGAGATGTACAGCACAGAAACAGACCCTTCGGTTCAACTCGTCCATGCCGACCAGATATCCTAAGTAAATCTAGTCCCATTTACCACATTGGCCCCGTTCCCTCTAAATCCTTCCTATTCATATAACCATCCAGATGTCTTTCAGGTGTTGTAATTGTACCAGCCTCCCCTACTTCCTCTGGCAGCTAGCTCCACGCACCACCCTCTGCTTGAAAAAGTTGCCTCTTAGGTCCCTTTTAAATTTTTCCCTTCTCAACTTATACCTATGCCCTCTAGTTGTGGACTCCCCCATCCCGGGGAAAAGTCTTTAACTATTTACCCTATCCGTGCCCCTCATGATTTTATAAACCTCTATGAGGTTACCTCTCAGCCTCCGATATTTCAAGGAAAATAGCCCCAATCTCTTCAACCTCTCCCTATAGCACAACCCCTCTAATCCTGGCAACATTCTTGCAAATCTTTACTGAACGCTTTCAAGGTTCACAACATCCTTCCTACAACAGGGAGACCAGAATTGCGTGCAGTATTCCAATAGTGGCCTAATCAATGTCCTGTACAGCTGCAACATGACCTTCCAACTCCTATACTCAATTCACTGACCAATAAAGACAAGCATAACAAACACCTTCTTCACTATCCTGTCTACCTGCAACTTCACTTTCAAGCAAGTATGAACCTGCACTCCAAGGTCTGTTTACTCAGCAACACTCCCCAGAACCTCACCATTAAGTGTATAAGTCCTGCCCTGATATGCTTTCCAAACTTCAGCACCTCACATTTATGTAAATTAAACTCCATCTGCCACTCCTCAGCCCATTGGCCCATCTGATCAAGATCCCTTTGTACTCTGAGATAACCTTCTTCACTGTCCACTACACGTCCGATTTTGGTGTCATTTGTAAACTTACTAACCATACCTCCTATGTTCACATCCAAATCATTTATATAAATGACGAAAAGCAGTGGACCAGCACCAATCCTTATAGCACATTGCTGGTCACAAGCCTCCAGTCTGAAAAGCAACCCTCCACCACCCTCCTCTGTCTCCTACCTTTGAGCCAGTTCTGTATCCAAATGGCTAGTTCTCCCTGTATTCCATGTGATCTAACGTTGCTAACCAGTCTACCATGACGAAACTTGTCGAACGTCTTACTGAAGTCCATATACATCACATCCACTGCTTTGCCCTCGTCAATCCTCTTTGTTACCTCTTCAAAAATAAATTCCCATGCACAAAGCCATGCTGACTGTCCCTAATCAGTCCTTGCCTTTCCAAATACATGTAAATCCTGTCCCTCAGGATTCTCTCCAACATCTTTCCCTCCACCAATGTCAGGCTCACAGTTCCCTGGCTTTTCCTTACCACCTTCCTTAAATAGTTGCACCATGTTAGCCAACCTCCAGTCTTCCGGCACATGTGACTAGTTTCATCTGTGGCTATCAATGATAGAAATATCTCAGCAAGGGGCCCAACAATCACTTCCCTACCTTCCCACAGAGTTCTAGGGTACACCTGATCAGGTCCTGGGGATTTATCCACCTTTATGTATTTCAAGATATCCGGTACCTCCTCTTCTGTAAAATAGGCATTTTTCGAGATATCGCTATTTATTTCATATCCTTTTCCATAGTAAACACTGATGCAAAATACTCATTTAGTATCTCCCCCATCTCCTGTGGTTGCACATATAGGCAGCCTTGCTGATCCTTAAAGACCCCTGTTCTCTCGCTAGTTACTGTTTTGTGCCTAATGTATTTGTAGAATCCCTTTGGATTCTCCGTATCCCTATTTGCCAAAGCTATTTCATGTCACCCTTTTTGCCCTCATGATTTCCCTCTTAAATGTACTCCTACTGCCATTATACTCTTCGAGGGATTCACTCGATCCCTGCTGTCTATACCTGACAAATGCTTCCTTCTTTTTCTTGACCAAAACCTAAATTTCTCTAGTCATCCAGCATTCCCTACACCTACCAGCCTTGCCCTTCATCTGAACAGGAACATACTGTCACTGGACTCTCATTATCTCATTTTTGAAGGCTTCCCATTTTCCAGCCATCCGTTTACCTGCAAACATCTGTGCCCTATCAACTTTTGGAAGTTCTTGCCTAATGCCATCAAAATTGGCCTTCCTCCAATTTAGAACTTTAACTTTTAGATCCAGCCTATCTTTTTCCATCACTATTTTAAAACTAACACAATTATGGTCACTGGCCCCAAAGTGCTCCCTCACTGACACCTCAGTCACCTACCCTGCCTTATTTCCCAAGAGTAGATCAAATTTCACACTTTCTCTTGTAGGTACATCCACATACTGAATCAGAAAATTTTGTTGTACGGACTTAACAAATTCTTCTCCATCCAAGCTCTTAACACTGTGGCAGTCCCAGTCTATGTTTGGAAGGTTAAAATCCCCTACCATAATCACTGTATTATTCTTACATATAACTGAGATCTCCTTACAAAATTGTTTCTCAATTTTCTGCTGATTATTGGGGAGTCTATAGCACTATCCCAATAAGGTGATCATCCCTTTCTTATTTCTCAGTTCCACACAACTTCCCTGGAAGTAGTCCCAGGAATATCCTCTGTAAATACAGTCATAATGTCATCTCTAATAGAAATCGCCACTTCCCCTCCTCTCTTGTTCCCTCCATCCTTTCTACCCTTCCTATAGCATTTATACCCTGTAACATTAAGCTGCCAGTCCTGATCATCCCTGAGCCACGTCTCTGTAATTGTTATAATATCCCAGTCCCATGTTCCCAATCATGCCCTGAGTTCATCTGCTTTACCTGTTAGGCCTCTGACATTGAAATAAATGCAGTTTAATTTATCAGTACTACCTTATTCTCTGCTTTGTTCCTGCCTACCCTGACTGTTTGACTTGCTCTTTTTCCCAACTGCACCAGTTTCAGACTGATCTCTTTCCTCACTATCTCCCTGGGTCCAAACTGCTCCCCCCATTATTAGTTTAAATCTCCCCGAGCAGCTCTAGCAACTCTCCTTGCCAGTATGTTAGTTCCCTTCCAGTTCAGGTCCATCATGAAAACCAGCCTTCCATCCACTGATTCCATCTAAACTTCCTGCTGTCTCGGGAAAGCAACCAACATAATTAGATACCTTCCCACTCCGATTATACTCTCATTCACCTTCTTCTGTTGGGCGGAAGATTAAAAGTTTGAATACATGTACAAATAGATTCAAAAACAACTTCTTCCCCGCTCTTGTCAGACTTTTGAACAGGCCTCTCAAATATTAATTCTGATGTTTCTCTCTCCCTCTGCAGCTTCTCTGTTGGCTGTAACAGTGCATTCTGCACTCTGTTCTGCTACCCTGATGCACTCTGTATGGTACAATCGGCCAGTATAGCACTTGAATGAACACTTTTCACTGTATCCTAGTACATGTGACAACAATAAATCAATCAATCAAATGGCCAAATTGTTTTCGATTATTCCTACTGTCCAGAATAAAAGAAACCTCCACCGAGATGGTTAAAGAAACTCAAAGAATAATTTGTTTGTTATAAATGCAACTTATTATTGGAACAACTAGCATAACTGGTTAACAAGTGATTTTTTTCCATAATTAAACTATGTCCCCTTAATCCCAAATGAATACGTTCACATGACATACAAGGCAATACATCTCTG